GTTCGTTAGCTTACGAACAATTAGTTCGTTAGCTTACGAACAATTAGTTCGTTAGCTTACGAACAATTAGTTCGTTAGCTTACGAACAATTAGTTCGTAATACAACGTTTCAAAATCCTTCGTAGGCTACGAAAGTTTTGGTTTGCATTACGAACCTATTGTTCGTAATCGTAAGCTATTTACAGTGTAGGTCTCATAACCTCCAGTGCTGGACTGTCCTGCTGTTGGTTTTTCTGCGAATAGTTCACTGTTTAAATATCACTTATATTTAATTGAATTCTTTTCCTCAGTTATTGCAAAATGTGTCGCACGGCAGGTGGCTGCAGAGCCTCCGCTTTGCACAGCGCGCCCCCAGCCCCCGCACGCCCCTTGCACTCGCCTCCAAGTAGCAGCGTTACGAGGATATTTACTGCCTTAATTACATGGGTGTTTAATTAGGGAATGGAGTTCGGAGTGGCGCCCAGTCTTATCGCCTGCTCGCCCGCGCAGCGCCCGCCCTGCAGCACCAGCGAGCACCACCAGCGTCCACCATCTTTTCCACTTTCTAGACGATGTAGGACGGCTTCGACTTCGCAAAAACTTTGCAATTGAATGTAAAACAGATGTGGTTTTAAGTTTTACGTTTCAAAATCTTGATGGAAATAAACAAAACAGGCAGGGGAGAAATAAATTTGCATCTTTGTGAAGAAAAAGGAAGAGATGGGGTAAAACGATCAGCCCGTATCCCTACTTTTTCGTTTGCTGTTGAGTTTATTCAGTAAACGGGGGCACCCAGAACTTCTCATACAGGTGTCAGAGCACATACTGTAAACATTGCAGCAATACGCAAAAACTGCGACAAAATGTGTCATTTTAAAGAAGGTTAAGAACTTTACTCAGAAATTCCCGCTGAAAATTTTCTTTGGTATTGTAGAATTTTTATATGGAATTTTCTAGGGTCATATTTTTGGAAGGTTTAAAATTTTCGTGCTTTACGACGCGTTGGTGGCCTTGTGCTAATGCTGGGAGGTGGGTCGCGTGCTCGCGCCCGCGGGTCGTGCGCACGGCACTTCTGCCGCGTGTTACGCAAGTTTGTAATTTGCAACTGCAGTATGGCGGTCTCCTTAAGGAATCCAGTATGTAACAGCGTGTGCCGCGCTGTGTCGTTAGCGAGGCGCCTCCAACTCTCTAATCTGAAAGTAATACCGCCAGGGGTGTGCTGCCGCACCACACCGTCTTCCTGCTCATCCGCCCCCTCGTCCTCCGCCGCCATACCTCGGCCCGCACCCCTACCGAAACTTGCGCACATTCATCTACCTTTATTCGACCTCCAGGCTGCAGCCGCTCCCCCATCCCGGACATGTGTTCGCGCTCTTAGAGCAGGCGCGCGGTTCGCACGCGCGTGAGCGAGAAGCGAAGCATGTCCGCGATATGTGGCGTCATTTTCAAGTCTAATGGTCAGACCGTATTCCTGCGTGAATTTTCGACTGCAATCTCAAGGAAGCCTGCGAATTTTGACTGTAATCCAGGAAATTCCTGTAAACATGTGCACGTTCAAAACCTGGAAGGTGGCCCCCTCGGCCATTTGTCGTGTGGTCGAATATTTACCTATCATGGTCCAATGTTAAGTAATAAAATGTATGATGGTCACCTCATGGCCACATTGACATAAAATGAGCATGTTGACGTCTCACCCTCGTATCGACTTTCGATGGTCATGCGCTCATGGTCTCATGGTGATATCGACGCCTCCTAGTGATGGTGATATCGACGTCACGTAGTCATATCAAAGACTTATGTCAGAGGCTGGTAAACTGCTCGTCGTGACGTCCGTGGGACGTCTTGTGCCCTCGGTGAGTGCTGCTTCATGGCATTGCCCCAGCGGGCAGCTGGTCAGCTACGGGTATCTTCGTCCCACACCGCCACCGGTTGTTGCCGGGCTTGCCTTTTTTAATTGACAGCCAAAGGATGAAAGGCCCACTCAGTATAAATGTGTTCATCCCGAGAAGTCCCCGCTCCTCCCCCTCCTCGGCTCGAAATCCTTTCTCGGAGATGAGCCCCCTTGTGTTCCTGACCGCCCCCCTCGCCGTCCTCTCATCCCTTGATTTGCTGCCGCGCCGGCTTCTGCTGCGCGGACGGAAAAAAAGGAAGGACCGACCGGCGACTTGCTGATGAATGACCCAGGTTATCTGTCGGGATAACTTCTCTGGGGCCCAGCGCGCTCATTGGTCGGCGCGGGGGGGTCACGTGGAGGCAAGAGTTATGGTGGCGGCCCCCGCGTCCCCACCACGCCCCGCCCGGCCACGCCCCACCGCGCCCCGCCACGCATGATGCAGTCGTGTGACTCACATCTTTATTCATCGGTCGAGTGGCTTTGGGCCTTCCCCTCCCGACCGACGCCTCCTATAATAATCATAAGACATGCGCGACGGCCATCGAGAGTTTGAGAGAGAGAGAGAGAGAGAGAGAGAGAGAGAGAGAGAGAGGGAGGGAGAGAGAGGGGGGTCGTGAGTTAGGACGGTCCAACCAACCGAAAGAAAACAAATAACGCCCCTCGGCCGGCCGGATGCACCAATGGCCGTCTTTGGTCGGAGGCGCCGCCCGCCGCGGGCCGGGGCAGGTCCAACTCAATAACTGAATGCAAGCGGAGCAAACAATCAGCTGATTGGGCGACTTCAGCGGTCGGCTGTGCTTATCTTTATTTGTAGGGAATTGTTGATCACCGGAAAGAAAACGATCCGGTTGTTATTTCTTTGCAGTCATTATTTTGGCCATTTAATCGATTTGACTGTTTGAGTCGCATCCGCGCCACCACCAACGATAGCAGCACCACCCGTTTGTAAAGAAAACTGCAAAGGACCACGTTTGTGTCGTACGTCGTTACGAAAGGAGATCCGAACAAGATATAGGAATTCGGCCCGATGCCTCACGACGCTACGCTACGCCCCTCCACCACGCCACGCCCCACCACGCCTCGAGACGACGATCCCCACCCCGTGATAAGGTACGACAGTCCTGCCACCGTTAGTTCTCCTTTCCTTGCGCCCCGCCC